CGTGGTAGTCTAGCCTCAATTGACTTATGAATTCAACTAATATAATACAAATTTGTGTACTCAACTTTAACCTATATTGTTTGTAAGAGATCTATTAATATTATACAACTACCTAAACCAAATTAGCTCATGAACAAAAAAGGATTTAGATTATTGATGAATTCATTAAAAAGTTGAATATTTTAACCAATTCACCATTAATTTACTCATAATGTCAATCAAAACAAAATTATGAAAATGAAAAATTCTAATGTCGGAAGAAAATTTTTTTTAGCATTTTTAAGTTTATTTACATTTACTCTTTCATACTTTTTAATAACATTTAATCAAAATCCGAGAGAGAGAGTGTGTGTGTGTGTGAGTGAGTGAGTGAGTGATGAATTTTGTGGATATTATAGTCTAGTACTTTCAAGTTTTCCATGTTGATCTCTAGGTTCAAATAAACTCATGAATTCAATTATTATAATTATCAGAATGCGCTTTAATCACTGAAAAATTCCCATTATATTAAAACACAATTGTATGATCGAAGAATATTCTTTTCAATAATTTCTCATCAGGTTCTACAATTACCTCATATCCAAATTAATAATCCATAAAATTGGCCAGATTTAAGGCAAAATACATCATCATTTGGAAATTGTAATATATGAATCAGGAATTGTTTGTTATATAAAATAAAATCGTTAATGTTGGGATGACTAATATGAAGTGTTAACTTGAAACGGTTTATAAGCGAAATGAAATTGTGAGATACATTATCAGAATAAATATGGTCAACATGGGGTAAAAGAGAGAGAGAATATTGTGATTACAAATCGGGAATTGCGTAATATGTAAAATAATTAGGTCAAATATAGTAGATTCAGGGGTGGATATTGAATAAATTCCTCAAAAAGGGGTTATCAAGTGTAAAGACAATAATAGTAATAAGTTTGGGACATAAAATGAACATTAGTCAGATTACGTCACCACATTATAAGATTGATTATTAGCTAGTTGGCCAGGCTAAGAGGAGTGGCTGAACATACTTCTTTTGGATACAAAGCTCTGGCTTTTTGATCCGAATAGCAATTGCTTCAGCCGTCTGTAGGATTCGCAGTCTGACGGAATTAGGTAGACTGTTGTTGACACGATAGATTATTGCAAAAGCTTGCTCCATGTTTGCTGTATGTCCTGTTTGGACTGTTAACAACTCCATCTTAGACCATTTAGTCCAGTGTTTCCAGGTTTTCCACGGTGGTCTAGCTTCAATTGACTCATGATTTCAACCAGTGATATTATAATTACTTAATTACATATTCTTTTATTGAACTAGTAACAATTATGACTTATATTCAATAGAATAACTCATTCATAATAATAATAATAATAATAAAACTTTATTATTTGTTTACATTTTATAATATCAATTAATAATTATTAATCATAATAACAATTGCATATTATTTACATAACTAATCGATTTTATTTGACTGTATGCTTGTATATATACATAGATATAAATATACATCAGTCGTCTTTTATATATGCACTCAAAAATACATACCTACATAGCTACATACATACACAATGTATATCTATGTATACACATAAGTACAAAGTATTTATTTTCATTTTACATCAATTATTGATTATGCGCACAAATATTATTACATAGTTGGTCAGTTAAAAAAGAGAAAAGCATTTTCTTCTTCTTCTTGACTCATTTATTAAAATTAATTATTATATAATTGAATTTTAAGGTTAATTACAAATGATTGATTTTTTATAGATTTCATCCTCATTAATAAGAAATTTCATTAGTAAAAAAGGCAATCGTTTTTTTCATTATTATTATTATTATTAGTTAAAATGCTGAGTCAATAAATGTGACGGTGATTTTACTTAATGATGTTAATTAATAAAACAATAAATATTGTTTATTGTTTTAACATTATATACACAAATTGATGTCTCATTAGTAGAGAATATCATGTTTGTCTAATCCTTAGTATTATCTCTTAAATGTTGATTTCTTGATATACCGCGTATAGCAGAGTACTAGAACACCAAAACCCTTTTAAGTCTCAGTAAGAAGATAGAAGACTAATGAAAGGAATATTATCCCAAACTGTGTCAATCATAGTACAAAATTGTCGGGTATTTATAGTTTTTAGTAAGAACAAAATCATCATTACAGTCCTCCAATCCGCATACAGGGGGCTATTAGCATTATCCAATCGGGGAGCTACACGTGGGAATTCTAGAATACTCTTCCGAAAGGTGATTGGATGGAACATCTTCGGCTCCTTCTGAGCCTCTTACAGCTTCCTCGAGTTCACCGGTGGTCCGTCGTCACAATTAAATAACATTGATTCAGTAGTAATGTAGCCATTTATCTATGTGATCCGACTTTGTGTACACTATGTTGAGATGTTAAAGTGGTTGAAGGTAGTAGATCTGCCTATAGAATTTGACTAGCACTAAGAGGACTTAAGAAAATTGACAGTAGTCGGTACATGATGATCAATCAGTTGTAGATATCTCAATTCTACAACAGCTTATTGATAGCGTCTCTGTGATCTGTGTTGAAATCCACAAATATCAACTAACACATAAACTAAGTTAGGATTTTCTTTTGTTATCTCTAACCACTTAAAATCTCCACAATTTGACCATTATTAAAGAAAGAATATAAAATTAATCAACTAATAATACATCGTAAAACAAGTAGGAATAGATCAATTGAAAGGAATAACCTCTAACATCATTTAAGATGACTCAGAGTATTCGGAGGCGGAATTCAATATGAATATGATAAACGACCAAAGGTACAGAGATATTTTTAAAGAAAGAAATATAAGGAGTTAAAATAATAGTAATGATACCAACTTTAGATCAAAGTTTTGAAAATCACATCATATACTCCTTCTGTATAAATTAGACAAAATGACATCCCATAGGTAACCAAAACTCCTACCGTTTAAAGGAGTTAAAAAAGAAGAAATATTAGGACTATTAACGAAAATACTATAGAAACAACTTCGAAGACTACGTGAGTTATATGTACACATATATATTTTTTAAAATAATCATAGAATTCATCCCAGTGTAGATTTGTCAAATTGGATCGAAAATCCTTTAGGTAGTCCATTTTTCACAAGGATTACGTCATCGGGGGGATCAGTCGGAAACAATTAATTATTTGTAAGTGAACATCCTGTTAACGTATGAACAGTGTGTTTAAGATCATTTCCAGTGGTATAACGGAACGATTATAATCAACTGTAACTAGAAAAAAGAAAACGGGAAAAGAGAGCACAAAACAACAGTAGTAATAACTACTATGATAGGTGTTCAAGTTCGATACTATTTAAATTAGGTACGTTTACGTGGGACGGTGTAAGTGTAAAGTATCCTCAAGAATAGAGGTCTAATAAGTGCTCGTATTAACGACAGTAGTTGAACACTTTCTCTATAATTTCACTAGTGGAAGGTAGAATACTCAAACATGTAAGCGCATTTAAGGCATTTTGAGAGGAGAAGTAAACATTGATACAACGAATTAATGATGAGAGTGATTTTATTTCACGAACAGATTGTGGTAAATTATTCCAGAAGTCATAGATACTGTATACTAATATTTTGAATATCATAATTTACACCAATATCTTCTCAAGTTATAATTATATAGCACATATTCACGTCTTTATTCTTTATGTTACCCAGCCTTATAGAATATATATTTATATGGTCACGTCTATGAATGTAGCACAGGGTTAATTAAGTCAAGAGAGAATCTCACAGTGAATATCTGTTCCATCAAAATTATAAGTACACCTTACTAGCGTGTACTTAAATACTTAGGCATGGATATTCTTTCCTATTGTTTTCAAACATCTGTATATATGCTTGGTAAAATTGTGAATATTTCTCCCCACAAAAAGAAAATACTTTTTGAAAGGCAATCTAATATATAACTTATTAGCATTGTATTTCAATCTACAAAAGTGAATCGACTTTTAACATTTCTGATTAGTGTCGAGTATCCGCGTTGATTAAATTGTCATCATTAACTTTTTCTAAAACATAATTCAGTAGTGTTTACAAAATCTAAACTAAATTAAAGCATATTCCATGTGGGATTATGTTAAAGTACACTGCATGGTCAGTTTTTAGTTAGTCAGCGCTAGCGAATAATTGAAGAAGATTGGAAAAAGTTTTTTGTTAGAAATTGTGAATATACTAACGTTTTTCTGACCAAATTTTGTTCACTTGAATTATAATTACATACCTATCCAAGCCGCTTACTGACTTTGGGGACTAGTCGAGTGAGGTAAAGTGATCGAAGAATACAAAGCATTAAGAGTATCTGAATTGAATTTTGAAAAAAAAAGGACTTAAGAAGTAATGTGTGTTCCGTCATCCATTCATGACATGCTACAAGTTATCCTTTCTTTAAGATTTAATTAAGTTGGAGCGTTTTGACTTTTTTTAATATAACGTTACTTAACTAACATGGAATATTCATATTTAACATGATACTCAATTTTTAGTGGAAGTAATGGTCTAACAGTTTACAAGTTGTACTTGCTTTCTTCTCTCTCCCACTAAACAATAATCATAAAAGTAAAAATGTTTTAAAATTGAGATTTCGTAAGAATAGAAAGTTTAAATAATGTGACAAATCACGTTTACGATTAACCAAACATAACTAACTGGTTAGCTGGGGTTCTTTTTTTGATAAATCTAGTCAGCATTCAGTTTTTCAGGTATTGTCTTTAAAATAAACCGTTCATTATTTTGAACCTTTGGTTTTGTTTCCATCATTATCTCATGGATTCTAACCTTGTTTGATCTAAGAACCTTTGGTCAGACAAACGGTATCAATTATGTTGATTATTTTGAAAGATCATAAAAGTCTCTTGAACTACCGTTCACATAATGCATCACTATATCATTCATCTTACTGGCGAATTTATTGTTTGTTTGAAAATACTGTCTACTTGAAATTACAGCTACTTCTGGTCGACCTTGGTCGTACATAATCAATATACTGAATAATGAAGCTAGTGATTCGGAATTATTGATCTATGCAATGACTTTGCTAAATAAAACATTAAATTCTATACCGGATCAGGACACATTTTATGATGTCACAGACTGTCTAGAAGAAATGGGAATGCAGAAAATTGTTCAATGTCATTTAACAAAGAAAAACTGTGATCCAGAACTAGCTGAACAATTAAATTTATACGAAGTAAGAATCAATTGTTTTCCTAATTTTATTCCTATTTGAAAATCAACTGTAAAGTGAACGACTAACATAGAATAATACCAATCAGTTGGCGGATGGATATAAACCAAAACATCCTGTTGAGATCTACAGTCCTTGAAAATAACTTGATCATAACATCAGTCAATCGTCATAACTTCACTGATTGTAACATTGAGTCTTGCAAGTTCAAGTCGTTAAGATAATATTCGTCTTCTTAAGTTGTAGACTGACGTTAGTAAATATAACACCTAGTTATAAAACATTCCGTGTATTCCTTTTACCTATTAAACATTATTCTTAAATTGATTGAGTTTTGAACTTATTTAGGTATCTTCGCCTGTGCGACAAGTGACCAGTGTCCTTATAATCATGAATAATGAATATCACTGTGTATCTCTTTATGGGGCTGGTAAACGTCTGATGGAAGTTCTTAGAAGACTCTGTTTCGTCAAATTTATTCAAAATTAGTGAAACTAAGTAAACTAATCGGTTGAACTGATATTTTTACCTACTTTGTTAGGGGATTTTAAACGATCTTTTCTATATATGATACGAGGAGTACGTACTTGATTACGTGTTCAAAATATGCTTTTATTCAAATTTAATTTATTGTCCTGTCTAAATGTAACGCAACATGTTACTTTATATATTTTCGAAATATCTTTATTTTTCTTTATCTCTATCCAAAATCCAACTTTGTATTCATCTTCAACATAATTCACTAATTATAATGTAAAATGTATTGTTTATATACCGAGAAAGTGATGGATTCTCATGAAATGGAAAACAGATTAAATAATCCCGTAGCTCTGTTATTAGAGATGTTGATAGTTGTAGGTAATAATTGGAAGCTCATCAACCTATTTATTTTCTACTTGATGCTCATTCGTAAACTGTACCTTCACTCTTGATGAAACCGATGCTTTATATGCCATTTATCCGATCTCATTCAGTGTCGAAGACACTATCATTTAGTAAGTTAGCTCCTGTGTGACTGAGGCATGTACACTGATTATTCCCTCAGTAGTAACTAATGTCGACTTTGTTGAGCTATGAGTACTACTTTTATTCTATTGATTGAGCAACAGTTTAGCCACCCTGATTACAATGATTCTCTGTAACGTGAACTATGCTTTAACCGTCAAGTGATTCGAACAAGCAAGACAATACAACTATGAATTGTTTACGACGTACTAAACGATTAGCCAACTGTAAAAACGAAGGTCATGAAGTTAACAAGTTGGTTAATTTATTCGTTTAGACCAATCATTTATGACGAATCTTATGTGAACTGTTCATATTCTCTACGGCTGTTTTTAGTAAAGAAAAATTATTTTGTTAGCATCATTGCAAAATGAATAATTTGGATCAATGTTAGTAATGATCGAAATGAATTCAACGGACGAGTTTTTATTTAAGACTTATTAAAATCCAAAACGTGATTAAATTAATTTTTTCTCAGAAAAAATAAAACAATAAATACTTCATTTGTTTTGACGTCTTAATTTATTACAATTGTGTATACAATAAATTATCCTTTTTTCTTATAGGCAAGTCTACGATATGAGGATGGTGAAGATTTCGATGAATTACCTTTACCGGTTAGTGGTCGTGAAAGTTTACGTCAAGGTAGACGTATGAGTAGAGTACAGTTTATGAAAACACCTGAAGGTGAAGCACTATTATCATCTATGCATGCTTTACCAACTAGTCAATCAATGGCTAGTGAAATGGATGGAATGCTTGGTCGGAAATCAAAACGTTTTCAATCAGTAGAAAATTTACAAAATAGTGGATTATCAAAAAGTGTTAAAAATGCAAAGTATGTCCTCTTTTCTTTAAATATATATATATATATATATATATATATATATATATATATATATATATATACATATATATATATATATATATATATATATATATATATATACCTAATTTGCATTATACATAATCCAATATATAGTATATTCCTTTTTATCTAATAGATGTTTGAGTAGAATTATATCGCAACTTTTGTGTATCTTGGAAGGAGTAGGCGGCTGTTTCATCATAGCATGGGACTCTGCAGCAGTGCACACCCACAATCCCGAACGCGGGAATCGAACCCACAGTCGACACTATCGCGCCCGAACACTTAACCTCTACACCACTGAGCTGTCATTCAAAGGTGTTAGTATCTAACTTTGATCAATATACGAAATTGCCTTACACCCGCCACTATTGAACTACATTGCTCACAAGTTCTCACTAGGACTTTGGGATTTTCTTCTAAAAGCTAATCACTGCTGAGTTTCATCGAAATCCTGAACTAATTTTCAGTATTAATTGAAGTTAGACATTAATACATTTGTATGATGCCTCAGTGGTTTAGGGGTTAAGTGTTCGAACGTGAGAATGTTGATTGTAGGCTCGATTCCCTCGTGTGGAGTCATGTATATACACTGCTGAAGAGTCGCATACTAGAACGAAACGACCATCCAGTGTTTCCAGGTCTATAGTGGTGGTCTAACTCGAAACGGTTCGGGATTTCAATGACACCCAACAATCTTCACAATCCTATACTCATAATTTTCATCGCGTTATGTGTTATGGCACTATAAAACGATTTCCCTTCACTATCCATTATACATATATACCGCAACAGGTGCGAAGCATGATAAACATAAAAAGTAAAACAACGATTCATGAAGGGGATAATGTGAATTATCAGTTAGAACACCTCAGGTAGTATCACTTATTTCTTACTGACTATGTTGAGCGTTTTTACTGTTTTTCTCGTCTGTTGGTAGTCATATCCATTGTTCTATCAAACTGCGATACTTAACTCATTAATTAGACAGCTAAATGGTGTATATGCATAGAATTCCTTTAATTATACATCATCTTAGATAAACTAAATGATAGACAATAAATTTTATTTTACAACTGCAATATTTCGCGTGTGTACTAATCATAAACATTAACTTTTTGTGTACTTTAAGTTTAATCTATCACTGTTCATACGCATTATTCATGCTGAGATGTAGAGATGAGGACAGAAAAGCAATTAAACTACTATTGATCACACAACTGGTCGATTTAATTTATCTTTTCTAATTAAATATAAATTGGATGCCAGTATGGTTTTTTCATGACTATTTTACAGCTGTAAAGTCTGTTGGTTACTAATAATGATCTCTTCGATTCACTTTATCACTTAACATAAATTCTCTGATTTGTAAAGTAGAACAGCTTCTAGTAAGCAGAGTATAAAACTAAGTAATTACTGTCAGGTATGTGATTCCAGGTATACAGAATCAGTATATCGCCGTGCTGAGACAATCAACACAACTTTCTCAGTAGACCACCTTTTCAATCTAAAGTTACATGAAGACTTCATCAAGACATATTGTCTTTTTCTGTCAGAAATCGATCATATCCTTAGTAGCAGTTTACTGAAATCAATGACTGCAGTGTTGAATCCACTCAAAAATTAATTCAGAAGCAACACAGTTTCGTATGAAAAGTATAAAAGATCAATCGTCTATCATTAGCAACCCGAACCCGATGTCCTTTTTTAAGTCTTCTGTCTAAAAGCATTTCTAGAGATATTAAAATACCATTTCCTTCAAGGACTGATTCTACTGTATAATAATCATTAGAGTTATGATATTATTTTAGCAATTAATTGCATGTTGTCCTGCTGATGAGTTTCATAAGCATATTCCATTAATGTACTAAAGTGTACCTGTAATAAATTTTATGCTAAGCGCCAAGTTAGATAAAGAACGTAAATATTTCATGTAATTACTAACATTGCTTGTTGGCAGGAGATTATGACTTAGTAATCACAAAATGACTTAAATCACTGAGTTAAAATCAAGTGCATAACATTGAACAAAAGCAAACAGATTGTTATTTCACCTGTAAAACCAAGAGCATTAGAAGAAATAGTCACAGTGCCGTTATCATTTTATTCTAATTTTGTTGCCTGACGCATTTTATGTCTTGATCGATCAGATGACGAGAATGAATCATAGATCAGAAAATAATAGTCTCCAAATGCAGTCGCTATTGCAACATCTCGGTTTAATTAACCACCTAGAAAACTTCATCTGTGGATTTCGTCTCGTACTAGATATTAATCTTGTGGTATATGTTACTGTCCTATAATTACAACTTAACTCGATGGTATAATCCATGAAGTTATGGACATTCATTGACTGAGATGGCTAAGGCACGTAATATATATGTCCAACCACCGTCCAAATTAATGTTCAGCGCTGACTGACATTAGTTTTTAAAAAGAAATTTAGAGGTTATTAAACCCTGGGTAATATGGCTCTAAACCTCTAACAAAGGTGCGTATAGATTCATTATTTATCTTCTTCTAACTACTGAACTTCTATCTTTTTCGAATTCTTTTTAAGAGGCTGCATTTATTCTTCTCGAAATATATCTTCCATATTTTTTTATAGTTGATACTATTGTCAATTCAATTATTTATTATCTTTTCCCTCTCTAATTGTACTACTGATTTTAAAATGTAGCAGTTTCTTCTAATTTATACTTATGTCAAATCCGCCGTTGTCAATGAATAACTTTTGGTCATAGCACAGGGTAATTGGACTTTAATTCTTCACAGAATCTTATGTTTCATTAGACTCATTAATATACTCTATTCAGGCAGATCATCCTGTTTTACAGTTTTTACTTATGTGAGATAGACTTTCGTTGTTATCGTGAAATTTTCAACATAATATTTAGTTGATTAGTGTAAATTATGAAGCATTCATTATTCTATATGTTAATTGTAGGACGTCTACTTGAACAAGATAAGGTCATTTGATGAACAAATTAAATCATATAATTTCCAGTGCTAATATTTGTAGTCGTGATTATCATCGGTATTTAGTTTTGTTCTAGTAAATATCAGTTTAAGTTTTCACAAATTTTATTATTCATTAATAATAGTACTTCTTATCAGTACATTGAATGTATGGTAAAATATTGTGTCTGGTTTTCATTACGCTGTAACCTTTTTAGTGCTACAGTAATGATTTATTAATCCATCTAATTTTGTTTTTGTCTTTTTCAACTGAAGTTTCCATCCGCATACAAAACAAACTGAACAGAAACTAGTCAATGCTTTCCTAGCTAAAGAAGGCAAACACAATGAAAATTTGAGTCGAGATGATAAACGAAAACCTGAAATGAATGGTTGTAAGTATCAGGACATTTTAGAAAAGAAAGACAATTAATGTTTTTTTTAGTCTATTTGCTTTTCGTTTATGAATTCTTTCATTTTTTAGATGATAAATGTCTACTGTTCAACCTGGTAATTAATGGTTGCCTAGTTAAAGACGATCAGTATTGTAGATTTTCTCTCCCTGACAGTTTGGTTCGACCAACTATGTCATTTGCTTCTACAACTTTCTGTAATATACTAACTATAGCAAACACACACACACACAATTGTTCTAGACACTCATTTTTCTAAATCCTCACATCATCAATTAACTTACCTTCTTTTCCGAACATTTACTCTCAACTGTAATATAGTTCACTTAATTCATAGCAATGCAATGAATTTCGAAAAAAACCTATTTAACTCTTTATCAAGTTTTTTTAATCTAAGGAGTCGTATTACCTATTATAATATATTTGGACTAAATATTTTATGCAGTACAATTTACTGTCTGATCAAATTGATTATCTCACAGATAACCTTCATAATTACAGCCAATAAACATTAGAGCTTATCAGAAGAAAAAAAGAACCCGTCTGTTCTTTTCATTTTTAAAATATTAATAAAAAGAAAACAATTTGAAATATATTTTAGCATTTTAGGATGTGCATACATTATGAAAGTTAGAATAGACATACATTTAGTTAGTTAAAAATGTATACTATATGTTATATTTGTTTTATTGAATAACATTTCTTTATAGTCACAATTCAAGTATGTGCTAACTACTGATATTCTCAATGGTTCATGATTATATGAACTAGTACTAGTGAGAGACAGGAGGAGGAGGGGAAAATTGTACTTGTTGTCAATTTATATCACTCAGTGCAATTCATTTTCAGTTAACTCGTTTTTATATAGATGTAAGAAAACTATGCATGGATCAAATGTATAATGATTTAAGTAAATATTCATTTGACTGTTGTTTTCAGATCCTCTATGCAATGTTTTATTCACATTTATTCAAAAACAAATCATGTAGAATTCTGTAGCCACACGATATTAACTGATCTTCACTATAACAGTAGTGATATTATACTTTTCATACAATAGATGTGAAGTATATACCGTTAGAAATAAAATTGTTTAGGTTCAGACGAAAATTTCTCAATTAAATCCTTCAATAATAGAGGTTACTTTGTGGAGAAAGTTTCAAAAAAGGAGTGAGCAAAAATAAACAGATTGAAATTCTAATTGACTAACACTGATATTACAGTTCTAATCTATTCTGATTATATACATATGATTTAAGCCAAATTCCATATAGACTTATGTGGCAATATGTAGATATATTTCTACTGGCTAATGCTTTCTTATTTGCATGTCGTAACATTGTATAATCATTAATATTATTCATTAATAATAATAATAATAATATTATTATTATTATTTATTCATCACATTTGTTCAACATAGCCTGATATGCATGAGCTTGTCAGTTAATGGATGTTGTTATTGTCGTCGAAAATATACATGTAACTGAGAGATTAAGCAAGAAAACTTGCATAACTGCTTGTTTTATTTTATGTTCAAATAAACAATATATATTTCTTTATTTTAATATTATTGTCCAATTGTGAATGCATCGTAAGGATATTTTGTTTAAATTATTGAGCTAATTTTTCATTGCATGCATTCACTCACCAGATATTGATAATTTAACAAAAATTCAGTTAAATCGTCTTACATCCAGTGAAAATGGAGAAACAACTCATAAACTGCCACATTTTGATCAGTCTTTAATCAATGGTCAAGTAGATAGTCCACATTACAATAATTCTGTTGATGTTGACAACAGTGATGCGATGAAGACGTATCGTATAACACGTTCCAAAGGAATCTCGCTGGTGTATGATGAAGAATTAAGAACTATGGAAACTGGCACGTGTGATACTTCAATAAGTCCCACACTCCCATACGAAAATGGTAAGCTTCACAACTAAATGCTGTTTTGTGATCTTATATCTTTAAACACTTATTCATATCTAAAAAGAGATTAAATTCCATCACAATTTTCGGTTGCTACGTCCTTGATCTGTCTGCCCAGTAATATGGAGGAAAGAACTTGTCTCGATCTAGGTTAAGACCTTGACACTATAGGCTAACTAGTTCAACCTTGAGTCCGAATTGAGCCTAACACTCTCGGTCAGAGAGACGAAAACAATCCTATCGCCTGATTGGTTGACAAGTGAGAAAGAGAAAAAACGAGCCAGCTGACACACTACTTGACTTATTCTTGATTCAGATTCATATGAAAAGTTATATTATAAATAGATGACTAACACAACCACAACGTACAAACATTTAGAAAAATACAACTTTGTCCAAACTAAGCATTAGGGTAGAAAAATGGAGTACAAAATGTTACGTTTAAATCACAATAGCTTTCGAACAGAAAAGATCACGACAGAGAATCATACATCAAACTAAAGCGTATGGTTTATAGAACAACCTAGAGATAAAACTAAATCTTAGTATTTTACAGACTATGAATTAAATGAAATAATGTCCTCCCAAATGGCCTCCGTTATTCGTCATGATTTCTTTATTTCTGTACTCATATCACTGATGAGAAGAAAGCGTTGGAATTCAACACCTTATTGTAAATTTCGTTTGTACTACTTGTCTACAATCTCTCTCTCCAATGAAGAACATTAAGATTTATACGTTGTCTTATTTTTTGACAACATTGTTTTCGCTGAGTTAAGGATCAGTAAGAACTGTTCCATTCGAAGTGAATTTACATCACGAACTAAATTTATTTTAGGAAAAAAGCTGATAAGCAAGAATCGCTTGACATTTTATTCCATCCTAACTTTAAACTCCTCCTCTACATTAGTAGCACGTGATGCCATCCAAACGGAAACCAAAAAAATAACTGGTTCCTCTCAGTTTTCATTCTAAGTCAGTTAACTAGCTGTTACAATGACCGTTGTTTTACAAATTAGACTACGAATTTTATATTTTATTTGGAGTTAGATCGTTGTTTTTCCTTTTTAATAACTTGATCACCAAGTGGAAATTTTTCATGTTGTTTAATAATTATGCGATGCACTGCTAACAATATCATTAGTATTCATTAACTATTATGCACCTGAAATTTACTTGTCATATTGATCCATAATGTTTCCTAACGACCAATGTATTTACACATAACAATAATGCAATTATAACTGCTTAGATATCTACCTTTTTAATGATACTCAACATTAGATGTTGTCAATACATTTTTCAGTAGTATCTCTATGTTACAGTAACCATATTTTCTTTAATTCAGATAGTACCTGTGAAAATCCTGAAAAGGAGGTTGATTTAACCCATTTAGACGTTACAGATACAAATTCAACAAGTTTGTTTACACTTGAATACATAAACTCGACCTTTGATATTATCGAACATGATGAAAATTTAACACCTACCGAATTAAACTCAAGTTCAGATCATCAGTACTCTATTAAAGATGTGGTACATTTTACTTTTAATGAAGAAATCACCGTAGAATCAGATCGAAAGTGTACCTTAGATACAGAGAATGGAATGAATCAAAGTGTTATGAATGAGATATTACAAAATTCACATGATGTATCTGTAAATAATGGACATGTAGAAGAAGTGAATAACAAAGAATTTAATACTCAAAAAAGTGAGATGAGTATGTATAGTTATATTTTAATCAATAAAAAAATTCTAGTTTGTAAAAATTTCCAAATTAAGCGTATTTCAACTGTGAATTTAGGAGTATGTTATAAATTGTTAACGATACATAACTAACAATGTGATTTATGTTAATTGATTTTACTTCTCATGTTAATATTGATATTCTACATTATAGTCAGTTTTTATTTCCCACTCATTTCAAGTTGTTAGAGTTTAGACAGTAGAAACCAACGAATAGGACAAGACACTGAATCATGCATCACTTCTACTAACTGTCCGTCCGTCTCATATTTTTATTAAAGTGTTTTTCAGAAAGGAATCAACCATAGAAACATGGTAAATTGGAGAGCAAAATGTCTAGCATTAATATACTGTGCACATACACACAAATTTGTGAGTGAACGGAGGTCTGTCATCATCAATGAATGATATTTATAAGATCTCAACCAATCAATGACCTGATATCGATAACAAATCAGTTAGCTAGTGAACAATAACAATGGAGTGCTCATGTTGATCTGGTCTTTTATCCCTGATAAGGCTCTGCTAATCACATTGTAACGTTCTCAATAGTTAAAGTGACTAGATATTATGTGTACTATTTCCGGATGTTAAATGGCTGGAGGCTATCGACATGAATCCCTGAACTTAGGGTTCATCCTAAATGCTAGATAAAATTCGATCAATACTAAGGATTAAGTAAACATGACATTAGCCATTACTCATTGATTAATCAATCGTAATTATCGCAGCTCTACATGATTTTGATATAGTGATGACGTCGCAGACTGTTAAGTTAGGTGATGCAGCTTTGAATTGTGTAGGAAATATCGTCTCATTCAAAATTACAGATATGCTTGGCTGACAAGTGATAACTAACACAAAATCCTTATGTAAGGTCTTCTATCAACTACCTCCAACCACTTAACATCGTCATAAACAACCACTATATGTAATTATAATGATTAATCACTATCACATTATTATGTGCTTTAGATTTTTATTTTCAATTATTCACCCGCTCAAGACGTTTCTAATTCAAGGAATCAACATGCTAAACAATCCCAACTTCTATATAATATAGTTTCGTCAGTTAACAAGGAAAAAATTGTATGGTGATAAACCTTTTTGGTCATTATAACAATTTAACTAGATTTTTATCAGTCATTGGATAAATAACTTTTAATTTAATATTACGTCAATAAAATGGGGAGTTCTAATATTATTATTCCTAGTGAGTTACACGGGGTTATGGGCTCGAAACCTGTTGAGTTTCCGAAAGATCTTCGGTCGTTGTATACTCTCCTCCATCATTGTCCCCACGTAATGCATAATTTATACAAACTGAATTAATGTTGGGTTTTTTTTATTTGTATAAAAAACATATGACTCTCGTTTTTAAGAGTAAAGCCTGGTGAGGACCTAATTTTTTTTAATAAAAACAACACAATATTGTCCACTTATTATTATAATTTACACAATTCTAATATTCTAACTATATTTTTCTTCATACATTCTATACACAATTACATAACTCAAGGACATCTTGTTATTATCATTAATCAATCAATAATTAATTAATTAGTTAGTAATTAATTCAGTCATGTTTACTTTTAATGTTTCTTATTTATGTTTTCTTTTATTGTATAAAAACAAATTTTTTTTGTTTTAGCTTTACTTGTAACCAAACAAACTATCATCAAAGTTTTACACTTTATCATTATCATGTAAAGTTTTATTCAATGCAAGTATGAATGAATTTGATATTCTTTCATATTATTTTATATAAAATTTATAAAGTGTAAAATAAATATGAAATATGAAAAGAGGTTTACAAGCTTATAACACTATGCTGAATAATGCTTAATGCTTGCATGATATAATGGCTTGTATTGCTATCATGAAATTATATGTATCACTTAAATTGTTTGTTTGTTTGTTTGTTTTTTCCACCGAAATTTCTTTATTATTTATTTTTTGATATGAGCATATTTGATAGTTCGTCATGCGAATACGAACAAATTATATTTATCAGTTACAGACTTTCCGTTCGCTCTCTCTCTCTTGCTCTCGCTCTTTCTTCTTATTTTGGAAGGGTTCAATTTTCTACCTGATCGGTTTATTGATAGTTAAAAGTAATTTAATTATTTTTAAATGTTTAATTTAAATTTATGTATTTTTATATTCTGTTATATGTTTATTATTTCAAGTTGAATCTATGGATGATGTGAAAGGTAAATCTATCGTTGTACCTGATAGTCCAATTGCTGGATCATTAAAGAATAAAATAGAAGCACTTAGTCGTGCATCACAAAAACAATCTGAACATTCTACACCGATTAGTCCACCATCAGTTACATTATCTAATACAACTGGAACAGTGCATTTATTAAAAGAAAAACATTCATCATTTGAAAATGTTAGTTGATTTTCATTGATATTTATATTATCTTTGCTAATTTGATTGTTTTATGTTATTTATTTTATACGATGTATAAATATTATTCAATTGTTGATGTTGTTAGGAAACGGGTACTAGGTAAGGATGGCAAATCAATTAATTAAGTAGTGAAACTTCATCATTTGAGATGGCTGCGACACGTGTTACGTATGCCCAACTACCGACTGCCTCGACGTGCGATGTTCAATGGTATAGGAGTAGGTTGGAAGAAAGATAGGGGCGGCCAGACCAAAACATGGCACAAGTCCATGAAGTCACTGACAAGTGGACTGAATCATGTTGGTAGGTGTAGACTACCTGGTTGGGGATAGCGAGATGATAACAACCGATGGTTAGAGACCCTGAATGACATGGCTCAAAATCGTTTGCAATGGCGCAGGTGCATACACTCTTTGTGTTCTCCCAAATTTTGATCTCCTTATCCCTCATTGTCTCTTTTCTTTCTCTTCCCAAATTTATTTCACTAGATTACACTCTCTAAATAACATCTCCAAACCCTAATCTTTCTGATTACTGCTTATACTCTTACTACCTCTACCACTGTGGGATTTGAATCGACAACTGCATATCTGTGCTAATGTGTTATGGCAACTCGAACTGATGTGCGTACGTACGAAGTTCTACGTTGTTACTGACTGACTGACTGTTGTAATCTCTGAGCTAGAAGCATTATTTGTAAAACTTTAGATGTTCAGAAAGACTATGTAAGTTTTATAATTCAATTATCTAACTCAAAAGGCATAACACCAACAAAAAGCCCTTAAATGAACTGAAAAGCTTGTTTACCAGATCAGTATATTCATTTGTGGTAATATGAGATTAATGTTTAATTGAAACGTTTCCATTTATTGATGTAAATTAAGATCAGTTTTTGTGACAGACTAACCAATCGATTAGCAGTGAGATGTCATGATCTTCTGTCACTGATACGAAGCATCCATATAACCATGGACATTACTTCGACTGATGGATCGTCAAAATCCTGGATCAGGAAAACTTCAAGAATACAGGAGAATTCCTAAAGGCATTTTGTCCAGATCGACTAAGTCTCAACCTGGACATTGACGGATCGAATCTATCAACCTTTATAGAAAAGATCAGCTAATTACAGATGTCAACTAACAAATACAGTCAAGTTAGACATAAATACAACTTAAGACAACAAATCTACGAAGAAACCTAATCTCAATCAATACCATCGGTTCGAACTAATGTAACACCTGTAGAATAACAGAAAATCTCATTTCCTCATTAATTAGGCGTTGAGAAAGCCGTCCAGAGTGACAGTGCAAGCCCTACAAATAAACTATTTGACTCAGAGAATAGAACACTACCAAAAGACAAGCAATATGGTTTTAAATAAATTAATGACGTTTACGGTCGGCAACTAATCCACCCACCCACGAAGTTAAAGCATAAATCACAACTACTATTCAGTCTCCATTATAATAATCATCTAGGTGTATATTGTGAAATCAACTGTCACCTCGCATTCAATTTTTAAGGGTAAACCTACTAGTTGGCAATAGCTCAGTCGTCTCGAACTGATTTTTAAACAATATAACTTATCAACCAAGTGTATTGCTCATGTATATGATTTTGTATCAGTTCAAATGGTACTATCCGACTACTTAAACCGAACTAGATTAACCATATGCTCTTGAAGGTTGATTAGGCAACTTTCAATGCCATTTCCCTATAGTTACCCTAAAATAACTGATTACTCTTAAGAAATATTATTGCAGATCCGACAACTTTTGAATTAAAAATAGATTATTTCGTGAGTTTTAAAAATTTTACTTACTGCGTTTATTCATTTCATTTATTTATAAACTGATTCAATTACTAGTCAATAATTTTGTTCATTACTATACAGATATCATATATTGTTGGGCAACATAAAGATGTTATGATAGCTTTACGATTACAAATCTCATACAACGAAAAATGTGTGTGAGTGAAAAAGTTGAGATTTACCCTATCTCACTAATAGTTAGATACGCAGATAGTATCTACCTAAGATCCAAGTCAAATGTGTATCAGTTCAAGTTTCTGAATTTCACATAAGTCTCTTAAAGTTTACTTTTTTATTTATTGACTGTATTTGGGCAAATAGATTGGTACATCCACAAGTAATCTGATTTTGCAAAACTAGCTATCTTATTGTATCTACATGAAAATCACTGGCAACTAGCTCAGTTGTAAAAGACAATTGATTCATTTATTTTAGCTTTGTTATCCAAACTCTATTCAGTTATAACTGTGTACCGATCCTTGAACATGAGTTTTCAATTTCAAATAACAGAATGATAATTATATAATCATATTTTTCAACTTTGAAATTCTATCCTATTTTTTGATTATTCTTATCTCTTTATATTCCTGGTTTTTAAATAAATCTTAAAGATCATCTGAGAGGAAATAAATGTTTCTCTTAGCAGCAACCAATACTATGACTATTTATATTTATCTCGTGTTATGTTCAATAAATTAACTTATGATAACAGACATTTGTAGATCCAGATGAGGATGTTGCATAATGTTGTATTGTCTGAGCTCTAAATATAACTTATTCCCATTCTTTGAATTAAAAATTCAATTTGACATTATTTTAGATAAGATTATTTAATCCTTTTTTTGTGATATTTTTCTAATTTTTCATGAATTTAATTTTATATTCGTGATATAGGCTGAGGAGCCGGTAAAACCTCAGCTACCACGTGAACGTACTGGTAAAATTTTGTCGGTCAAAGATCGTTTTGAATCAGGGATATCAACAAAACCACCAAGTTCTCCTGGCTCTTTAGTATCTCCTAAAAAGGTTAGTTTTTGAAAATTATAAAAATTCTCATCGAGTAAATTAGAATAGTAGTTCAGTTATATCTTCATCAGATTTTAGTCTAGTATGCGGCAATCCTTATATCCATATGAATGAAAAATATTAAATAATGGATTTGGTTTGTAAGTCAGTGATAATTATGAATTAGATTACATAACCAATCATAATTAATAAAAGGTATTAACTAATATTAAGACAACAAGTAAACTAGTTTTGACATTGTTCCAGTCTAGGAAGTAGGTCATGAGTTTGGGAAATAGACATTAAGAAAATATGATTATAAGAAATCGTTAAAATTACATCATGAGAAGTTTTCAGATAATCAGATAGTGGGATATATATAAGCGGTTGAAGAAAAATAAGTAGAAATTCCTTTAGAAAATTAATCCTTAATCTTGACGTATCAAGGACGGCTGGTAGTTTCGAACTCTTATAACTTCTGCCATACGTAGGAGATGAAATCGAACGCCGTTGGGAAACCATGATTGTATGCGATAGATCACTTGAAATGATTTAGTTTTATTAACTACATGACCACTGTTGACCATGTGTGGTAAAATGGAGCTGAGTATTGTCTTTATTTGACCCTTTCAACCAATTTCGCTAATTTTTTCACATACTCTGTTTGTTTTATTCTTTGTCCCCTTCCATAGAAAGTGAGTATATATATATATATATATATATATATATATATATATATATATATATATATATTTCTTCTGCTGTCAAGGTTAATAATATTACTCTACTCAGTAATAAATGTACTCATAGTAGCGATTTTTTACATATACTCTTATTACTAAAGAAACCTTACTAGTTCTTACAGACCCACTTATCGGTGTATACCACTGGTCAGAATCATTATTCGGTCAATCGATTTCAATTATTGTATATTTGTCTCAATTAGTTTACAAGATCAATTGGCTAATTGTTGCCTGTTGATTAGTGAGTAAAGTCATAAATAAGAACCCGTCAGCTGGGTGATATAATTAACTATTCAGTCGTCAAATAACTGTCTTGAAAAATCTATTCAGTCTACAACCAATAGATTAGTTAATTGGAACTCATCTGTAAGTCATTCATATTAGGTGATCTTTGGAGTCCCCAAAACTTAAGTAACACGCGACTATTGAGGCGTACCTAATTTTTATAATAGATCATACTTTATCTTCTGATACTGTCTGATCAGGTAGTTCATTTCCTAACAGGTAACTACAGAACAAACAACTACACCAGCCAGTTCAATACTAGGAGAATCAGAAACTAATGTGGAAACGTTTTGGCAACGTTGTTTGGATAAAGTTAAACGACGGCCACTTCGTCTGAAAGATTTAGACTTTACTGATCTTGAAGCCGAAGAACAAGAGGATGGTAAAGAATCACCTAGATTGCTAGGTCCTGGACCGCCACCACCACCACCACCCTTTCGAGGTGGTCTTCCTCCTCCACCCCCACCACCTGGAGGGTCTGGCGGCCTACCTCCACCCCCTCCTCCACCTCCAACTGCTTCAGGTGACCATACTACTTATATTAATAATTTTGTTAGCATTATATTTTATCAATCAAGTTATTCTGCTTTATCGTTTAGAATTTTTTAGTGCGGATAAATTGAAATTATTTAACCCTTTACTTTTGATTTAACGATACTGTTTCGGTAAAAGCAACTTTTCTAAAATTCAATGTTAAATGAGCTTATCATGTGAAAAATAAAATTATTACATGCTGTACATTTTCTTGCACAAGTGCCTAATTCATGTTTACCCCTGCATTATGGAGTAAAGTTTTTAATTATTTATGAGATGAAACTTCGGTTGTCAAAACAACGAACAAATTGTTAATTGATTGATAATGCAGTATGATGTAATATGACCAAGTAATAGCTACTCACAAAAATGAATCATTAATATAAGCCCTGGAATAATTAAAAATTAAAGCAAGATCACTAACCAGACGAACAGATTTTATGCAATAAAATAACATACTTATATGTAGAATACGAACACTAAATAAACATAATAAAATGTTATAGGCGATTTGAGAAAATTAGCTTGTAGGTCACTCATTTTTCAATCAATTAAGATCTGAATGTTAAGCTAGATCTTTAAACATCGTATCAATCCCTATCTATATATGTTTAGCTTCCACACATAAATCTCATCTTTTCTTTCTATTTTTAGGAGGTGCTCCTCCTCCACCACCACCAGCTCCTGGTGCTAGTGAATCTTCAAGTATACCTTCGAACCTTCCACCAGCTCCTGGTACAGAGTTGCCTAAGTCAAAGAAAACTATTCGTCTTCATTGGACTGAATGGAAACCAACTGCGAAAGATTTAAAACTGATCGCATCAACTAAGTCTTCATCATCATGTGATAAACCAGATAAAGCTACGGGTATAGGCAGTAGATTCACTTCTGCTTTATTGAATAACAAAACAAAAGAAGTGAAAAGGGACGTGAAAACTATTGCAAATGCTACAGTTTGGTCTGAAATTGTTCCAGTGAAATTAGATCCAGATTTTTTGGAAGAAACATTTGAAAATCGTTCATCTGACATAAAAATAAAGGTATTTGTTTAATTTATTAAGCTTTAAAAGGATATATGTAATATTTAATTAGTCGTTTATGGATTAATTGTTTTGTTCTTATCATAATCTCTACACCATAAGTGTAAGACTTCAATAAACTTAGCAGATGTTGTGATAGATAATCGTATTACCGACTATCCAGCTTCCTTTTAATGAATGAAACATTTGTTTTCATTCTCCGACCAGTCCTCGTAGTGACGACTCATTTGTTTGTCCGTTTCTTGAGGGAGATTTTTTCACTTCTCAATGTTAAACTAGTTATCATACTTTGATCAGATGTTGAACGAAGCACTTGTAAAGATGACTATAATAAGAGACTGGTACGGAGTTAGCCACAACCGTCTGCCAGAACCGTGTCAATGTAGCTTTGTTCAACATTATGAATGAAAAACACGAATATATTGATTTGTTAGTTTTTGAAATGGATTCTTGAATAAAAACTACATTTTAATATACAACACTCAGCCACCAAACAAACAGAAAATGGCTGTAATCATTAAATACAACTCATGTATCGAACATTGGAAATGTTATGGAAAACAGAGTCATGAATCGTCGTTTAACGATCATTTCCTCTATTACTAATACGTTTGACGTACACAGTAGTAAGTAAATACCAGTGTATCCGAATCCACATTTTAACTTAGTTCACAATAATAGCTTGATTTTCAGCCAACGATCTATAGACTGGAGGAACTAATATTCGTTATACATCCAGCTAATTAGTCCCAAATCGAACTAAACGTGCGTCCTAGATTCCACTGTTAATGATTATCCAACTTTACTTAAAACAATTTTTTTGGTTGTTTTAAATTTCACATATTATAATTTATACATTTCATTCAGTGATTAATGCCAAATCATAGAGATGTATATCGATAAACTCCCATTGAGAATATTCTCAATTAAATAGTGCTATTAACATTTATTTGAAATATTCATCATAATAATGTGAACCAATCAGGAAATCTATCATTTCTATGAAACACGGTTTACTTTCTTTCTCTGCGTACTCCAAATTGTTCACCCTTATTGTCTTTACCGTTTTCGTATATTCATTAAACATTTCCTAATTTATTATTTGCTTTCTAATGCTTTATATAATTGTTATTTTAATAAAATACACTTGTAAAAGGATATGGTAAGTGCATGAACCGTTTTATATACAATATATACATATACAAAGTATATTTGTTATTAAATATAGGTTTTACATTAAACATGTCATTATTGATATAAGTTGTTAATATACTAGCATCGTTTTATTATAAGATGTACATTTATTCATTATCAACACTTGTGTGTGGATTGATGTTATACCATGTACCGATTAATGTGCAACTTGTTTATGTGTGTGTTCGTTAACTGGTGCCTTTACTAATTATCTCACTGAATAGATTGAGATAGCTGCTTGTATCTTAGATTTTCATTTATAATCAAATATTTTAACATTGAAAGAATTTTAGATCCCCCATAACCAAATATATATATGTATATATATACATCTCAGAACGAAACATACAATGCAGTATGTCCCATATATTTTTACTTTTGTGTATATGTCTATTATTGTATGTTCCCCTCCCTACAGATGACTATGTATGCCGATATATTTGTATATATTTTTTATCCTTCTACATATGTAAACTGTAGTGTAGTTTGTTCAATGTCACATTATCTCGGTCATTGTAATTTAACAATACGCATAGTCATTGTTCATTACACACATAGAATATCTTTGAATACATTTTTTCTTCTTGTTCCAACGACTCTTAACTAACGTCGTAAAGGTTACTTGCTAAATTGTCTGAAATTATGCACGTCTTTATATATATATATATATATATATATATATATATATATATATATATATATAATAAGGATCATTTATCTATTACTCACATAAAATGCGTGGCTCATAGATCTATACATGAGCCTCCGGTTTATTTCTTTTCATCTTCTTCACTATTTCTTTAAATTTAATATCGAAGTGTTCAGAATTGTTTACACCGAGATACGTATTTGACACTTCGAAATTATTTTTACCAAAATTCTTTCAAATGTACACACAATGAAATAAAACAATTTTATATCAATAAGTAGATATCACTCTGAGCTAAACACTGTTGATCATGTTGCGAATTTTCAATCAAATCTAAATGTCAGTTATAATACCTCACTTTAAACTCAAAAACAATCTAGGAGAAGTAGCCAGGGAAAGATTTTTTTAATGTCGTATTATGATTACTCTTAGTTAAAAAAACCAATTGACATTTATTTTAGTATCTGAAACATTTAACTTTATAAAATGACATCCAGTTTAGATTATGATTTATTCACTTTCATGTTTTAACTAGCCGGTGATTACCTTGCTAATGATAATACTTTACACACCCACCATGTTAGTTGCCAAATTGCTATCAATCCATTTTATCGGTGTCGCATGGGAGTGATACACTGCCTAGCTGTGAATATCTTCGGTTATAACCAACAATTTTCGACAATAAGCATTAATTTTTGTTGAATTCTTTTTTCTGTCCTAAATAATAAAATTGATCATAATTCAAGTGAAGAGGTTGTATTATAGTGAACGAGAACACAAGTGGGGACAATCGAATGCATTCGAATACAAAATTACAGAATGTCTTAGTAAACCATTCAACAACGTCTTTATTTTAACAGTTGAATTCACGAGTCAATCTAAGCTAGACTACCATTGAAAACAGAGAAGCACTGGACTGCTGTTTCATCCTGGTGTGTGACTCCTCATCAGTACGCATCCACGAAACCGCTTTCCAGTGCTTTCAGGTTTCCAATGGTGGTCTTACTTAGATTGACTCGTGAATTCAACTGCTAAAATATTGCAATCTCTACAGGTCCATATACTGATAATATCGTTATCCCTTGATTTTGAATTTCAACATGTTCTCCCCTTTTGAAATTTCAAGGTGATTTTTCTCATGAACTATCATTATTTGGAAATTTTTTGAAATCTAAACAGTATAATATTATTTTAGGACACTCAGTGCCTCCCATAGCTTGGAATGATCTCAGTAAGTGCAACGCCGTCTAGCTAAACTGACTACAACTTGACTGTGTTGTATTCTCCCCCAGTCAATCAATAGGTTCACTGGTTGACATCTATTGCTCAGTTAAAAGTATAGATCATTTAGTTGTAATTTGATCAAACTAGATGGCAATATTAACTTGCGATTTTCTGTGGACTGATTATGCGATTGAAGAACGTCTTAAACAATGTTTTTTTCTTACTATCTGAATGCTTCAAATCATTTCACACTGAAAAGTTTAGACGGAGAGAAAAATTATTTTTTTTACTGATTGATGTTTCCCATTTCAATAAGATAAAACAGTTGTAGTTGGGATCAAAAAAGATTCCGTTTCATATATTTGTCAGTAAAAGATAATGATCATCCAAATTATGAAATATCATATCTTTTAGGTATCTATAATTCCGATTCTATTTGCTACCGGCCATAATAAACACTTACTGATTATCATGAGAAATTGTTGAAGGATAATAATAAATGATTACGGTTTAAAATTACAAAAGACTAATTTTTTTAAAAAAACCAGACCAAAACATACTACTGAAGCGAATTAGGGCCATGTAAGGATGAGAGGTTGGACGTATCGTTTATACACGCCGAGTTCAAGCTTGAATTGGTGGATCGCCAACACTAATTTACATATTTACCAAACAACCATAAATATGAATGTACAACTTAAGTAAAAGAATTTCGTCGAAAAGAAAATTTTCTTCGCTGAATTCTCTTTATTTTTTATTCAATGACACAATGGGTTATTATTTTTTAAAACCTACATTAATTTTTAATAATTTTCTTATTCTGAATGGAATCTTATCGTAAGTACTATATGTCATTCATAGTTCAAATGACAATATATTAGTTTTTTTCAATTTGGTATTATTTCAAGACTTTAGTTCATAATAAGCATTTTAATATTATCACTATCGTCTTTATTACTACTTTGGTTATTTTCAACGTTTTCTATCATGAAAATATATTCAGTAGTTATTATTATTGATCATTGACTAATTGTGCGTGTGTGATCAAACGACTTTAAACAAATTCCAGTTTTAGTGCAAACTCCTCCTTCATACTATCTCTAATTTGGAATTCCTTTAAATTTTATAGTGTATGGACATTTTTTTTCGGTAAAATTTACTCCTTAATAAATATTCTATATATAAGTTTGAGTTTCATTTCATTCACAAAAGCATGAAATATGGCAACAACAATTCTGTCGATTAAATGTATCTATTCCTATGTATTTGTGTGTGTGTGTGTATGCTGAATTCACTTTTAATTTTAACATTTATTTATTTATTATCATCATTTTTATGAAGTACTCATGACTTTCTTACGATGTGAAAAATTAACAGTTTATTCAATAGTGGTATGCGTATTACATTTCTAATGATTCATCCAATGTCTCTAAGATGAGAAGAAAACTAATAATATATTACTTTTTTTTTAAAAGAAATGATCACTCATTTGTTTGTTGCCTTTAGTGTTTTTTATATTCTTTATTCATTTTGTCATGAATTCAATGACAATTTTATTGTCTATGTGTATTTGTGTGAAAATTTAACAATGTTTAGTTTGTAGAATAGGGGTTTGCGCAAGAGCATGGATCGATTGAAGTTAGAAATGAACACTGTTGGATACCAGCTCAGTGGTTTAGAGGTTAAGTATTCGTGTGTGAGACTAAAGGGTCTTGGTTCGAGTTCAGAGTGTGGGGTTGTGGATGAACAGATATATCTGAAGTTTGTGCTGATGATGTCGTTCAGAAGAACGATGAAAGCTCCACGACCAAACCATCCAGCTCAGAGAACAAAACTCCATCAAAATCATCCACCTGAGCTACAAATCTCCACAATACTGATGAGTTCCATACTAGGAGGAAATAGCTGTCCAGTGATCCCGGGTTTTCAACTGTGGTTTTGCTTAGGTCAACTCATGAATTCAACTGTTGAAATGTTTACTTTTATTACTTCTCAATAATTTTCTCCATATTTTACTAAATAATTTACTTAACTAAGAAAAACACCATGGTCTGAAGATGTGGTCTGATCATAATTTTTGTCGTGTTTTATGCAGTTACTATTGTTTTTTGTTTGGTGCCTCTTTATTTTTACAAGCCTATTTCTTCGTTTTAATTGTTCTGTGGTTCTCGATTACTGATGAAAATAGTTTTGTGTGTATAGCTTAAAATCAGTGATCGAATGCTTTCCCTTAAACTGAACAATGATGATAATAATTATATTGATGCGTTTTCTATTAAAATAATGTTGGGATATTGAATGTTCCTATGTGAATTGTTTCTTTTCTTTTGTACGTCTTCTCTCCTTTTATCATTTATTGGATATTTGTTATTGCATATTATAAAATGATAAAATAATGAGTATTCAAATGAATGGTAGAAAACATGAAGTTCTGTCATTGTGAAATTGAGGATTCCGTGCATTTTTTGAGGAGTATAAATCGTTTAATTTAATTTCTTTTTAAAGCTTAGCATAATGTCTAAAACTGTGAGACTGAGTTATGTGGGTTTGAATCATCAGTTTCATTGAGAATATAGGTGCACCTTGCTGATGAGTGCCAAACAGCACGAAATCTCGGTCAATCAGAGTCTCCTTAAACTACTTCCAACCACTTATCGAGTCACTTAGACCAGTGGTCACATTGATACTTGACCTATGGGATTCGACTAGTACTAAGAAGGACTTGAGATACATAATATTGGTCACTACTTAATGTTCAATCAGTTGTAAGCTTAACGTCAAGACTTAAACTAATTTAGTTAGACATCAAAATAGTTCAGTCAATGTAGTTACTTTCGTCATGAACCGACAACATCAGTTAAATGGAATTTTGTAAAACAAGAAATTCGTGCAACTCTCATCCGGATTTGGGAATTTTTCAGTAGTGCACACTCAATCTCACAACTGCAGTGTGACCAAAGAGTCTAAAACAAATTTTCTTATTTGTTCTATTTCCGTGGTTCCATGATTGATATCGATCTATGTTTAGGCTGTATTCTAATTGCTGAAAACACCATAAGCTTCACAATTTAGTTGTCCGATGTATTATCTCAGAAATATTTGGTAAATACTACTAACTTTAAGCATGAATATTATAAACAAAAGCTATAAAATCGATGTTGTCAAGTTTTTTTTAAAAAAGATTCTCAGTGAAATTTTTTTGTAAAAGAGTAACAGTATAAAACCTAGCCCTTTTATTGATAAGAATTACAAAATCAATCCCAATTTTATCAAATAGTTGTCTATGTATCTAATATACTTGAGAACTGCTGCCAATTAGTTATGAAATGGTCAGCATAGAAGGTATTATTTTATTACTACCCACACTGAAAATGTAACTATTCAAAGTAAGACTGATATTCATGTTCATGGCCTTCAATCTTAAGATGGAACAATTGGCTGACAAGGATAGTTATTTTTTACGACAAAAAGTACACACTTATATGTGACATATTTAACAAAGTACATGGTTATAAAATATTGCCTTTATAGATCAATCATCAACTTAGAAATTAAAAACAACGTTCAGATTTACTTATTTTTTGCTATGTCATAATGCTTTCGCCTGATATGATCTCAATTTGTATTTACACTAAACTCATCATGGTAACGTTATTATTCAGCACAGTGTGATCCATATTGTCTGTATTCTGTACTATCATTTAATCGTCCAATTTATCTAGTTTAATAAGTAAATGTATGATCGAATTGTCCCAAATATATTGTGCTAATAAATATCTCATAGTTCTGATATACTTGATACTTTCATTTCATTATCTAAATATCTATCATAGAAATTAATTGTTTTAACTAATATGATAATATGTAAACTATCATTTAATTACATTAACAACATTGAAATAATATCAACTTCATTAAAATAATAAAAAAAATTTGTTCGTTTCTAACACATTAATCAGTGATCTGTTTCTTTTCCTTTGTAATGGACAGTTCTTCAGTTGTAATTTTGATGGTTATTTTTTTAAATCATGTATTCATATAACTTTATAATCCCATAGTATGCTTTAACCGTCTATTAATCTATTCAGTTGACATTACTTAATCCCATTTCCCTCTTGACTGCTTTTATATAGATTAGTTCCCATTTCCTGTAATCCAAACTATATATGTATATTATGGGGGGGACCGTGAAATCTTTGACATACTGTAGATTGTGCCTATATATTTAGTGACAGTTTGGAAATATATTCATTTGATATTTATATCACTAATTTATTTTTTTAGAAACAAGAGGTGGCTGTCAAAAAAATTGAAGTTCTAGATATGAAACGTTCAAATGCAATCAATATTGGTTTAAAAGTTTTGCCGCCACCGCGTACTATCAGTTCTGCAATTTTAAAAATGGATCATTCAATTATAAATAGAGAGGGTATCGAGGTAAATTTAATTTAGATTTCATTTTTTATGTTTATAATAATTACCTCTTTTTGTTTAATCAGTTTTCTTTTATGTTGTTAAAATAAAAGTAAATATCTAAATTGGTATTGTTTACTTGAATCTTCCCATTGATGCTTATGACAGTAATTGATCAGTATCTTATTGGCATATGTGCATACTGTGCGTATTGCCTTAATTCACAAGCATTATAAGCCATGATGGATAATGACTAGTGGTGGAATCCAAGACGCGCGTTCTGTAAATTAAGGCAATATCGAGGAGACACTCACAGGATGCATATATGCCAATAAGAAAGTGATCAATTGCAGTCCTAAACATCAATGGGAAGATTCAAGTAAACGATATAAAGTGGATTTAAACTTTATCCTATTGCACAAGCAATTGGCTATCAGGACTCAGTAGCTAAGTCGATAACGCGATGGCATTTGAGGCGAACAGTACTGGGTTCGAGTCCCAGAGTGAACATGAACTCTGGGATGCAGAAACATCCACCTAACGAGTCCTAAATAGGACGTAATGCGCATCCTGGATCCCATTGTTAGCCGCTATCCATCTTTACTTATAAATATCTATATTGTTTAAAATGTTTTATGTGAAATTTTCGTGAAAATTGTTAATTAAATACATAAATTAAGAGTTCAATAAAGTAGTAGCTCAAACTATTATTATTAATGGCTTTATTCACGGATAAACTAATCACTGCACTCAGGTTGACAAAACATGAGAACACACTATAATAATACATGAATTACGAAATAATTTTTAATAAATAATTTAAAGCAATTAGTCCCTTTGATAAATTTCGATAATGTAATAAGAAGACGAAGATTATCAGACCGATGTGATATATTAACGCAATACATTTCAAACAATCTGATCACACATATACTTGTTAAGAGCATTTATATATAAAAATAAAAGGTCAACTAGACAGGAAACGGGGTAAGAGAAGATAAGGATAATAATAAGAGTAATAATAATAATGTGAACACAATTTGAAACCTAATCACTCTGGATAATAAGTCAATATTACCAGGGTAAGTTTAAGGTGAGAACAAACTGTTTTTGAATATACAAAGGGGGTTTGAATTTTCGTATGGCTAAGGCTTCAATAAACCTTAGCATCCGCCATTTTACAATTTTATGCAACACCATCATAAATGTTCTTTACAAGTATGTGTAATTAGATTGTTCGAAATGTATTGCGTTAATATATAACACAGTTCTAATAATCTTCGTCTTCTTATTACATTATCGAAATTTATTAAATAATGTTTTATATTTAAATGCAATTACCAGGATTATATCTTATTTCATTTATATTTAGTGATTAATAAGAATTGAAGTTGAATCATATCATTTAAATATAATACTATGCGAAAAGTTTCTTATCTCTGTGATATGATTACAATTATGGAGTTTAGCTCATCATCTTAATTCTTAGTATTTAAAGATCATATTGTTGGCCAAGTAGATATGATTATCTAAATATTAAGAACTAGACAATATGCTCGATTATATAATTAAATATTACACAAATCGTTCTTATTCTTTATTGTGTGCAGAAATCAACATTTTCCAGGGAAAATTCCCATCATCTTATTTACTTATTTAAGCTAACTCTTATCCATTTAGAATTTACTATGTATTATTAATCAATAGAAATGAATGAATTCGATAAACACATATTAAGCTTATATATGTAACATTTCACTAAGACCACTTCACAAGTAAACTAAACACCATGCTAGTAAGCGTAAAAACTTCATAAAAGACCATTATAACTTTTTGGTTGTCTAAGTATGTAATCAAAAATTATTTTAAGCCACATTTTTTAGTTTTATCCTGAATCGGTTTAGGCACCCGGGTGGTATCACAGACCAAACACAAATCAGTGATAACTACGACTGGTCTCAATGTTATTGTGTGGCGCATATGTATTTGATGCCCCCTTGTACCAGTTTTTGTGTTCAAATAAATATAAATAAATTGCAGTTTTATCGTCTGTCATCTTAATAAATTTTTTAAAGTAATTGATTTATGTATTCGGCCATTTGGACTAGTTAGATGCTCAAAAGTGGAGTGAGTGGATTGGGATTTTAACCTACAACCTACTAATGTAAGCCTAGATACTCTTATCATTAAGTCATCATCTCCTATTCATAGGTTTTACAGGAATAATAATCACCTCTCTTCGAATTCAGTATTATACACTATCCAACTTATCATTATTTATTATTATTACTAATACTATATCTCTTCGTAACGTTTCTATGTGTAATTATTGTCATTACTAGAAACTGTTAACAACAATGCTACCAACAGATGAAGAATGTGAAGCTATAATGAAAGCAAAAGCAGAACAAGATGGATTACCACTTGGACAAGCTGAACAATTTCTTGTTACATTGTCAGCAATAAGCCATTTAAAGCCACGTTTAGAATTATGGTTATTCAAATTGGATTATGAACAGAATGAAAAAGAAATAGCTGAACCGTTAAATGATTTAAAACAGGTAATTGTAATCTACTGTTACTTGTGAACTAGAATATATTTTAAATGTTATTCCACACGATTAATTAATTGATTTATTTGGTCAATGTACACTAAGTGTTGTTTTAATAAACAGGGAGGAAAAAATTTGTGGTAAAACTGTTTAAAACATGTACGCTTTGATATTATATTAATGATGACAGTTAATTTGAGGAACTGGCGAACAACAAGTCTACATGAAAAGGAGTGTGCAATTTTATTTAATCAATAGGTATATGTCATTTAATTGAACGGGTTAGCTTTGTTGATAGAGTTTTCTCAGCTTTCAAGTTGTGTGTAGATTGACATCTTTTCGATAGGATCAAACTAACTGGTTTTTTCTAGTCACATTTAAAATACCCTGGAAAAGAATTCGACTTCATGCTAAGTTAGACATTTTTAGAGGTCGTAAACTTGAATCAGCTTGAAATGCGATACTGTATTCCATAATATTTGAGTCAAATGTGATCATAACAAACGTGTTGATTTTGCTTGTGGAAATTTATTTTGAACTATTTAGCCATTAACTCTTAACTCAGTCGTCCATAGGTTTATAGAATGTATGGATTGCGGCAGACGGTAAAATTTAAGGTGCGTGTTTCTACTTATTTAGGACTTGTCAAGTGGACGTACCCGACTTGAACCGGGTCCCAGTTTTCGATTTCAGTTCCCCAATGCTTTTTTAAATTAGTTTAAATTAGTTCTCCACCAGTTAAATACGTATCTGATATAAAGACATTTTTTGGTTCTACACATTATGGAAAGCTATTTTAAATGAAAGTTAACCAACTTATTACTTTCCCCGTACTCTCTATTCTTTTCATCGATAGGCTGTTATAGAACTTATCAATTGTAAAACTTTACGGTATATTCTATCCGTTCTTTTGTCTATTGGGAATTTTTTAAATGGTTCAACTGCTAGAGGGTTTACGTTGGATTATCTAGGTCGGTTACCTGAAGTGAAAGATACGAAATATAAGAATAGTTTGTTACATCACGTATGCTCTATAGTATTGGACCAATTTCCTGATAGTACAGGTAAGTTATTCACTAACTTTCTAGTTTGCATAAACAATATTGTTAATTAATAAATATATTATTACTAATACTCTATCACTTATAAATGTTTTACTAACATAAATCTCACTAAGTCCAATAAATGGTATCATATAGTTTAATCCTTAGTAATGATTAACTCTATCGATCATATCTGTAATTTGGCTACGAAGTAGATTACATGACATTATCATGTTATAAGCTTGTAAGCGAATGATGGAAAACCCCAAATGTGGACTCCATACTGGTCATCACTTCACCAAGTGTGTGTACCTCTAATCTTAGAAATGTTCATGTCCCTTTGAAGATTTGAACTAATTCATTCGATGTCTTAGTCGAAAAACTAAAGTAACGTAATCAAGGATAGGTTTGGACTTTAAATACACAGAAAACTATTCAACGAAATCATTTACTTAAGCTGTACATTCGTATATAGAGTTATCTGGAAGATATATGTTGACAGGAAAATAGAAAAGATTGCATCATAAAATGGATTTGAGACTAAATAACAAATGAGGTTACGTACTAATCAAGGGGTAAGGAAGAAAATAGTTTATGGGTCAGATAATAGTCCAACTGACAAATATGAAGAAAAACGACAAACACAAAGGTCATAATGAATAATAATCAAGAAAACTTGTATGACGTAATAGTAATAACTGATTAGAGTTTAAAAGTGCAAAATAATAAAATAATTAAAAAAATCAATAATAATCAAATAAAAGTGCAGAAAGATATACAGAAAAAAACCCAGAAGCATACCCACTAAGGGAATTACGGCCAAAGAAGGATGAGAGGTTGGGAGAATCGTTCCTGCACGTAATGTTTATGTCCGAGTTCGTGGATTGCCAATGCCTCAGCGGTACATAAAATATTGATTCGACACCCCTTCGATCCAGTTCCTTTGACTCTGTAGATTACTTTAAAAGAAGAATCTTGTGAAGCGATGTGTCAACAATTAAATAAATGTTAATTAAATGTATAGAACGCATCTCAGAACACTATCCGGCTTGGCTTTTAAAATGAGAATGTAAAATAATTACTAGTTCTATATAGGTCATTTGTCTACTTTGTTTCCTATTCAGATTTACATTCGGAATTAGGAGCATTATGTCGTTGTCATCGAGTTGATTGGGATGAGTTACCGAAACGTCTGGAGAAACTAGAAACAGATAGTAAACGATCTTGGGAACATTATCGATTAATATTCAGTTCTGAAAAAGAATCAAATAAAAATATCAAGTAAATTTCATTTGCTTTCACTATTCATTCATATTATTCGTATATGCGTATATATATATTGAACAAATTGGCTGTTTGTTTCTTTGTGGGATGTTGCCGAAGGTGTGGTCTATTGTGATAGCTACTTATTGTTCCTTTTTTTTTCCTGAGGTTGAATAAAATCTTAAAATCTTATTATACCCATTTATCAGAGTTTTCTCTAAAAAGAAAATACTTTGACATGTCTTTTTTGAAATCCTCTTAGATCTGTTTGTCCCTATCTAATATTTTCGATAAAATTTTGTAATCACCTGAAATATTTATGACTTTTGATTAGCTTACTCAATAGATGATTATTTTTAGTCTTCAACATCCTTATAACTCACAATTATGAAGTATATATTTCAACTAAATATCTCAGTGTTTGTCGTCAGCTTGTAATGACTGCGAAGCAAACAAAAGATAATTTACATTGGTGCTTTATGAAGAGTTTTTTATAGTTTAAAATTCTGAAGCAACTAGGTAGATTCAAAAAATGAAAACTATTTTAGAACCGGTTACTACTTAAATGTCAAAAAATTTACTTGCTCGGCTAATCCGTATTTGTTGATACGTAGATTGACTTAGAAACATATGGTTTATCACATTGGTTAGATTAATGAAGTTGCATACGTTTAGTTGATAAACTCATTGGAGCACTATAAAGGCATTTTATGAATTATTCATACTTGTATGTTCTTACAGGACAACGATTATTGATGGGATTTGGAGAGAGAAAGAAAAAGTATATGAAATATTGAGAATTGAAAAAAAACATGTAATTGAATGCATGTTTAATACCTTGTGACTATGAATAAATCTCTTATTATTGTTTTATTAGTCAAAAAATGAAGCTTTGTGACAAACTACATTAATCTATTTTGTAAAATTCGCTCACAAGAAATTTATGCAGTTTGTTTTTTGAAGAAAGATAAATAGACGTTCAGGGATAAGTAATCACGACACAGAAAATGTGTCTTATTTCGTCATCTATCAAAACAGTACCATGAAGTATATCGTCTAATTCATTGTAATTTGTACACATACAAAAAATTGATTAGATTGCTGGTTAAGAAGCTAACATGAACGATTACTGTTAATGAATCATAATTATTTTTTAAACGATTATCTCTCTAAAGAATTTCAACATTCCTTCAAATAGATGTTATACATTTTCACAGTTGAAATCAAGAGTTCATCTAAGTTAGACCACCGTTGAAAACCTGTAACCACTGAATGGCTGTTTCGTCCCACTGTGGGGCTCCTCAGCAATGTATGTCCACAATATAATGTAAGCAATTTATTAATTGGCAAACATATCTATCAGTTTGAAGTTGCCAAATATCCAATCAATGTAAGAAAAAACAATAACACTAATCGTAATGAAAGATTAGGTTAAAGAGTTATAGTTTAAAGGAAGAAAATGAAATGGGGGCATTAAATATACATGGAATGAATATGTGCACATGATCTGTGATGTGCTTCCACATCAGTTGCTGAGAGTGAAAAAAAGAGAAAGACTTTTCGGGAAGAGGAGGAGGTTTATAGACTGAGTGATTCCTGACAGACCACATGTTACTGCAAGGCCAGACAATTTTCATGTTCTCATAAGGAAATAATGATCAGCCATATGTTCAAGTGTAACCAGATTTACTATAAGTAAGTGAATTATTCATCTGAACAAGGTCACCATCCATGTATCTTCGTGTGGATCTCTCCATTATTATATATGTATGTATATACACACAATGTATATGTTTGTTTGACCTTTGGCAGTAAAGATTCCTGCGCTCTCCTGGTCTTCTGGTGTTACTTAACTGGTCGGGTAAGCGTTACGAAGCATTCAGTCTGAGCTCGACCGTAGGATATAACAGTCTGGAAGATTATATATATATATATATATATATATATATATATATATATATCACTGTTTCATGAAAAACGTTTCAACCTTTTTGTTTCTTTTATTTTTAGGCTTTCTGACTTTCTTACCGATGCTATGGAACGAGTGATTTGTTTACAGATGGTTTATCGTCGAATGTCTGCCAGGTAATCAACTAAAATATCTCTATATTTGAAACATTTCCTCGGAGTATTTTTTTTAATTTTTAATTTAAATCAATTAATATCTTACATAAATTACATTATTGGTATTCTTAATCCAGTTGGGAGCGAGGATGGTGGTTAGATATGAAGTTGAATTTCTATAAAGTTACATTTTTGATAAAACAAAAATTCGTTATAATGCGGAGGTAACTACATCACATATGAAGTCAAACATCAAACATCTCACCATTAAAATTAGTAACAATAACGTTTAATCTCAGAATCTAGAGTGAGATACAGTGAAGAAATAAAAATGATATCATTTACAATATTAAATAATTTTTTTATATATATATTTGATGCATACGAGTATATTTGTCTACATTCATTAGCCAGTCATGGGTTATTTTCATAAGACATTCCAATTGAAGAGAAAAATATTTTGTTCAATAAAACTAACAAAACGTATACCTGTACGTTAATGATATAATTCAAGTTTGAGTGTATTATAGTTAGCTCTCTGTATTTGTATATGTGCATATTTCTTTTGATTAATTTGATCTTACTGGTAATATAAAATAGTTGGTATTTAACATTTATTTATTAGAAACAATAATATTTGTAAGATGTATTCGGAAAACTCACCATATATATATATATATATATATATATATATATATATATATATATATATATAGGTAATAGTCATTCATTGAGGCATGGTATTGAGTAATCTCAAGGTTAAAATGAACGCTACATAGTATAATTAATACTTTTACACTGAAAAATAGTTGGTAGTAATAATTGAAATATCTATGTGAACGTCATAACATTAACATTATACAATAACTGACTATTGTCAAATTTATCAGCTGGTTAATTGTAATATGAAAATGTTTGTAACTATTATAAAGATTGTATCTGGTTAAAATAATGGTTTTGTACTGGATATCTGTACTTTTTATCTATCCACTAATAACTATACAAGAGAAAATTATGAGGAAATTAAGATGGTTATATAAAAAATAAGGCTGCCAAGAAGTGTTATTGTTAGTAAACAATATTTCTTTAGTTATGAATGAATTACGCAATACTGGAATTATATATACAGAATGTGATTGTAAGTACAATTTTCCTTTATCTTCAGATTTCGACATACCCTGGAATATCTTGGTTATAGTGCAGCTAGAGCCTCTAGTACTTCAGTTGGTTACTTTTGTCGAATTCTAGCTGAATTTGCTCTAGAATACAGAACAACTCGAGAGAAAATTATTGAAGGACGAGAGAAAAAAGCGTTAGCACGAGAACGCAAACGAACAAGAGGAAAATTAATTGTAGATGTAAGTGATGATTTTTAATGATAGTATTCTACAACTTCTGGTGAGAAACTGTGATCAGTGAAGTTATAGATCTTATGAGAAGTTAAACCATAGTATCAACAACAACAATCAATGGTGGTCTCATAATATCGTAAACGAAATTAGACTAGAACTATGAATTACTAAATACCAACTCAGTGGTCTAAAGCTCAAGCACTCTCTGTGGGACGAGAATGTCCTACTTTCTGCCCTTTCCGGAATCGCGGATACACATCACAGAGCACTCCAATACTAAGATTAACCAATCGTCTAGTCCTTCCTTGTTTTCATTTGTTATCTAGCCTAAGTCATTAAGTGACGTTAAAGGGATATATATATATATATATATATATATATATATATATATATATATATATATCCTTTGTTAAAGCACCCTGAGATTTTAATGTGGCACTATCTGCACAAATTGGTCAGATCCCACTTGTACATGATTAAATAATATTAACAAATCTCCATACTGTTTCCTAGGTATGAGTCCAAGTAAGTGATCAAATGGAATAAAAATGTACCAGACTACAAAATACGATTTTAGAATAGTTTTATAAAAATGAAATTGTGGAGAATATCTATAACTCAGTTAGTTGTTCACAGTCGCGTTGTATTTTTTTTCAGCTGGATCATTTGATTACTAAGATTTCATCATCATTTTGGATAACATCTTCAACATGACTTTTAGAAGCTTTGTAACTAAATCAAACAACCCAAAGAATATCCCACTGAAATTACATTGATGTTTATAAACATCACAATGACTCATATGCTACTGTATACTTGAATCCGTTTTGTAAATAAAATAAAATTAAAAGAATAATTATAGTCGGAGTATATATAGTGAAGTTCGAGTGATTGACATAGTCAGCTTTTTATCACGAGATTTATTCTCCAATCGAAATACGACATATTCAATCTTAATACTGTGCTAAAGCAGTGATATTCGACCGGTATGAGCAGCCTAACGTCCTTATTGGTCCTTTCCTCGCCTAGCCCGACCAGTTGAGTTCAGAACACCAATAACAGCTTCCACTACTTGGTTTATATACTAGCCAAACAAACCTCATCATACTATAAAATAGGAAATAAGATGTATACAAGATTAAGCCAAAAAGTGGCTGTGAATGTGAGAGACTGTCATCAATAGAATGAACATAACTTAAGAATAGTAAATCGTATAATAATAATAATAATAGTCTATATGTCAAAATGAAGCTTACAATAAGGGGAATAACGATGTACATAATCTAGTTACTAAACAGTCATACAATAGGAATATATACAATATTAGTTCATTAATAGTTCTCAGAAGTTACTCGTAATTTAATCTTCACTAGGATATAACAGTTATGATCTAGTCAAGAACGATATTAAAATGTTCGATCAAAAATTACATAATTCATACAATCACATACATTAAGAAAAAATAAGTGTCAAATATAAATTAGATTAATTTAAATTATGAAAATACATGTTAATTAGTTGTAAATAAATTTCTATTTGATCGGATCACATTTGTCAAATGTTAATTTTAACAAGTAACGTATATTTTATTATTTATTCCATTTCATTTCATAAAAATTAAATGGGGGGGGGGGACGTTTTTTTTTATATACCATAAATGAAATGTTTACAATAGCAACAATTACATAACAATAAATAATAAAAAAAATAGTGAAATATAATGTCTAGTTTTAAGAGTCAATAATATTTTACTATTATAATAATATTTCTAGCTTAACACTATAATGGAATTACAATCAGAAGTTGTTCAAGCACAAACTGTAAGCAAATCATCATAAACAAAAATACATTCACAATTATGAATAGCACAATTCTTATAGTTGTTGGATTATTTCGTAATAAATAATATTAACATTTTGTATTTAACCCTTTTTCATTGAATACTTAATCTATTTAATTTGTTTATTTGCTTACTTACTTACTTACTTACTTACGCCTGTTACTCCTAATGGAGCATAGGCCGCCGACCAGTATTCTCCAACCCATTCTGTCATGGGCCTTCTTTTCTAGTTCCATCCAATTCTTGTTCATTTTTCTCATGTCTATTTCCATTTCCCGGCGTAATGTGTTCTTTGGTCTTGAAGATTCCATGTGAGGGCTTGTCTTGTGACGCAGTTGGGTGCTTTCCTCAATGTGTGTCCTATCCACTTCCAGCGCTTCTTCCTGATTTCTCCCTCCACTGGGATATGGTTTGTTCTCTCCCACAGTAGGTTGTTGCTAATAGTGTCCAGCCAACGGATCCGAAGTATTTTGCGTAGACAACTGTTAATAAACACCTGTATTTTCTGGATGATGGCTTTCGTAGTTCTCCAGGTTTCTGTCCCATACAGTAGAACTGTCTTGACATTTGTATTGAAAATCCTGACCTTGGTGTCGTTTGACAGACAGGTGTCTTGAGTTCCAGATGTTCCTCAATTGTAAATATGCTGCTCTTGTTTTGCCGTGTTTATTTGCTTATTTACTTTTAATTTTTATCCAACATTATTATTTACTGACTTATTTTAACCCTGTATTAATTTATGACAAAGTTAATGTATACTATTGAACAACCTTTAGATTTTAAGCAATTCTAATCAATCAAGAAACAGCTAAGATAAATGAATGACGTTAAGATATAGGATTAGGATACATATTTTGAAATTATTACAATATAGCTTATGTCACTTTATGATGAGAACCCTAATCTTAATTTCTAACTTTATTTTGGATATTTATGCTATAACTTTGATCCTGATTAGTTTAACAGTATTCTTTAGCTATAGTTCACTTGCTATTTCATCTTTGAATCGTTTGTAGTGAGTTCTTATCATCATAATTGAATTGAAATTTACATAGAGTAAGAAACTGTTAAATATCATGAGAGCATTGGATAGACCTCTTGTTTTAGTTTGTCACTATTTATCAATTTGTTCAACTACAACTTCTCTAAACATGGTCGAACTCAGGACCTTCACGTTTGCTGCTATTGAGCATCACGCTTTTAAACCATTCAATAGGAATATTCATGATCTCTTAATCAAAGCTATGTTCTTTCACTAACGACTAACTTCAAGTAAGCATTCTCAAAATTCTGACAAAATGCTATGACTGGTAGAGTTCAATCCCACTCAAAATGTAACATACAAATACCGATAGTATTGGGTGAAAGCTTAACAATATCATAAAACCAAATTTGAAAACATGAGCTATTAGATTTCGAATGAAACATAGAATTGTGACAACACGATCTAATACTCAAATATCTTTAATTTCGTATATAATGGTGAATATGTACTTTTAAGAATCTCCCTAACAAAAGATTAATCAGTAGGTTATTCAGTACTCTTGAGTTTGAAATATTCCATGATCAATCCACAATGGCGATGGAAAATAACATGAAGCCTAACGTTCTCCACAAACTTTTTAATCCTAATTTCAATTACTAAGTCAATGTATATTCTATAATGAACATTACTCATGTTAATAATGACTAAAAAATATCATCATTTTCATTATCACCGAGCAACCTTGATTTTCTTTCTAAAACTTAAATGTAAATACATCACTGTAGCAATTAAATTATTTATTGCACTAACATTTTACTTACTTACGTCTGTTGCCCCTCGTCGAGGAACATGGGCCGCCTACCAGTATTCCCCATTCAACTGTTTCCTGGGCATTCCTTTCCAGCTGCTATTCATCCTTTTGTTGGCTGCTTCCAATTCCTTACACAGTGTGTTCTTTGGAAGTTAAATCTATATACTTTTTATTTGCTTCCATTTTTTCTTTGATGTTTTAAGTCAAATACATATTGACGCCTTGATAATGAAAACTTCAAGATGTAAATTAATCAAGTGTGAATTGTTTTTACTAATCGCTACCAATAATACTTCTCTAACACTAAACATAAAATAAAATTTTAATTTAACAAAATGTCAAAGTAAATATTGGTTTTATTCAGTTTCGTTAAATCGATTATGTATTTTTGGGGGGTTTTCTTTTTCGAATCAATCCCAAAAGGTTACTGGTTTACGAAATACACCAAATGATCTAGTTCAATCGAAAGATGATGCAGAACTTCGTGATTTATTACTTCGACCTTCGAATGAAACTGACTCAGATGCATCATCATTTACAGCTACCATTAGACGACGTCTTCATACTCCTGGACCAGGTGGGTACATTTGTAAAAATCTGATAAACGTCTTATTTATTATTTTATGTTTGGTATACTAAAATTTCTACTACAAACTCTCTATTTCCCTTCCTCGCATAAATCTATTGAGATAGTTTGAATGTCTTAACGGTGCTTAGTTTTTTTAATCATTCAATGAATGATTTAATTTCATGTCTATATTCCTTTTTAAAAATGTATCTAGATACGTTGTTATTTTAATCCTAAAGTTATCATTATTGTTTAGGATCAAATCACCAACACTTTTAGAAAAGCTCGATCAATCACATCGGCAGAGATCAGTTGAAAATTACAATTAACATGAATTCAAAAATAAATGAAGGCGACATATTATAGATAGGACCATCAGAACTAACTGATTTAATAGTTATAAACTTACTAAGAAATTCACATCAACCTAAACTGGACGCTGATGATTTTGTTCAGTAGGCTAATGAAAGCTTCGCAATCAAACTATCCAAGTCAAAGAACAGATCATCATCATCATCACCACGAATAACTGTTCTTACTGAAGAAAGTCTGTAACAGAATTTATTCTATCGGTTTATTATATGTCTTGCAAAATAGATCGTGTCGACTTTCCTATCATGTTGAGATGCTTGACTGTGAGAGTCATTGGGTTGATTTCTGACAGCATACATTTCGTATTCATTATTTGTTCCTCTTTTTAACGTATATCTATACATCTTAATTATTTAATTTAATAACTACCTCTCCATTATTTCCCATGACTGTATGTTACTCTGAATTTAATCAATAAATGTTCAGCTCCTAGAAGATTAGCACCTCCAAATCGAGGACGAAGTCCAGGTTTATTATGTGAAACATCAGATGCATCAATGGAAGCATTAGATCAAGAACAGGATATTCTATTAGATGCTTGTTTACGTGCAAGTACACCATCTATCAATTCTCATGGAGCATCAGGACGACGTGTTCCACCAAAAGATCGTAGAAGACCTACAGATCGTTCAAGGTTTTCAGGTATGTTTAAAAAAGTAAATATCAGCAAACAATATTGTTTCCGACTAGATTTTCATCATGTTTTACTCTAATATACAGTTAGTATTTATATACATAATATTAAAAATATTAAATCAACTAAAACAATGCATAAGTCACTGATAACTAGTCGTAATAAGTGGATTATTGAGTAGTTGACCTACTCTAAAAATATATCCTCAAGTTATAATGATAATTTGTAACCTGTGATGGATTCAGTCAAGTTTATTGTTAAGATAAATGTTTCTCAATTGCGTCTTACTAGCTCAAGTTAAAATTGTTTCCTGTCGTGTTCCGATTGAATGAGTGGGCGACGTATCATGACCGTTGTCTAATTCGATGGTGTTAAAACATCCAAACTGACTGGGCTACCACACAGCGATTCACCAACTCAATTTTATAGTGGCATAAGACAAAATCTCCGTAGGAATCTGTATTGTCAAATAGAATAATGCAACTAATGAGTAGTCATAGATTGTTAGACTGACCCAAACAATGATACATGAGTTATGACTTTAGTTGGATGAACAATCCATTTGCTCACCATATCTTGCTAGTACTTACATCTGACTTAATGTTAGAGCTTTGATAATTCATGTACTTTGTAATGATTTGAATTATCCTGTTGCTGATATTCTTGACTGAATTTCGGTGTGTGTTAATTGACATATATGCACCCTTCTTACATTGTCACTATATTTACAGTCATCTACATACATAAACACAGTACAGGTTACATATATCTGAGTTTATTTTAAATTATACTATTCATTTTAATTATTCATCATTGTTGTATACTACTTGTGTGTTTTTTTTCTTCTATTCAACCCGTTTCTCTCTGTAGTTTTCCAGTGCGTTCTGAGAGATGTCTCGTTTTTCTTTTCATTGATTTTTGTTGTTGTTGGGTTTTTGTTTTGTTTTGTAAAATATTCAGGTTTGTACATGATGTAATTTATTGAAATTGAATGCTACTCGATGTATGTGTTTGCTTGTCTATTTATATGCTTGTATACAAGGCTATTATGCAATGGTGATATGAATTACAGTCCAATTATTTTTTTAAAATGATCTAAATGATTTAAAGCAATTAGTCCCTTTTATAAATTTCGATAGAACAATGAGAAGATAAACTCCGTCTTCTCATTGTTCTATTTAAATGATTTATTTATTTCACGAGAAATCTGGTATTGTCTTTAAATTAGTGTCAATGACGCTTATATTCAATATATTGTTGACGAATATGTCTAGTCTTAAAATAATAATAATAATAATGATATGTTTTGCATAAAGAAACAAGATCATTGAAATGATAGAGCGGATTTGTAGTTTAGTTGTATGTTTTTGCTGGTGTTATGTTCTGTGGTCTGAATAGAATTTATTATTATTATTCTAAATAACATCATTAGTATCTAATTATTTTAAGTAGTAAAGAAACCTTGATAATTTTATTCATAACGATGAAAGCTTTACAATGAAAACATCCAGTTTAATGAACACTGAAATGTCTCCCAAAACAGTACTTCATAATTAGCAGATAATTAGTTTTGAAACTTCATACTGTTGAATTTTCTGTCATGGAATTGTGAAAATCTCTATGTAGGCGTCTTTTTTTTAAACTGAATTTCAAAATAATTCCCTTCAAAACACGAGTTATACTGCTTTAGTGAACTTCCAGAATATCTAACAAATTTCATTTCAGTAATTATTCTAGTTTAGTTAGATTATGTACGAAGTGGTTGGTTCGAATCCAACATGGCTTACATCAACTAGAAAACTACTAAAAACTAAAAGTTATTGGATAGTCGTCTCGTTATCATTTGAGATTCGTCGACAGTAAATGCACACAGCTGATGCATTATATTATTGTACATATGAAACAATCGATCTCGCAACATACCATGCATGCTGTTTGGCATATACAAAAGTCATTCTTTGTGTAACTATTCATTTATAGCACGTGTAATGCATATTCATTATGGTTTAGAAAACATTATGACATTTTATTACTGTTTTCACTTTGATTCTTGCAAAGTATATCTCTTTTGATTATTATTATTATTATTGTTCGTGAATTAATTATTCCTATTTTTTCTTTTAAATTTCTTCATATTATTTTTTTGGTTCGAAATTCAAATCAGTCCGTCGAACTCTTAACAAGAAAATAGCTGAAGATGATATCAAAGCCATTGAACGTGTGATACAAGCATCAGCAAAAACTTGAATTAGACAAGTCTTGCTATCCAATAAATTAAAATGTCTGCATACATGAATAAATGAACAAATCTGCATTATTATTACAAAACTGTGTTGTAATGTATGAATAACCATTTTGAAGATGTCGATGGATAAAACGTATTTTCTTTCTGTATATAGAAACAAACCTTTATCAACTACCTTTTGTGTGGAATAATAACAATCCTCTGAATATTGTTGATTAAAACGAAATCTTCTTTTCATTTTGAACTCCATAAAGTTATTCCATCTTTGTACATTGATACAAATATACACATGTACGTATCGCGGAGTATATACGATGTGTGCATATGTACCTAAACTTGTTACAGGCATTGTAACTCTGGTAACTTACCTTTTTAGGTTAAACCGTTTGTTACTAAGCTATCCTCAATTGTATAATCAAAGAGTCTAAAATTTAGCTCAAGCGAATTCTATTTCCAATTCAATAGCTTGGCAACAGACAGGATACCCAAAGACATCTCTCCATTACAAGTCTTCTTCAACTCCCTTACTACAATTACATTTATTCATCACCTATGTAGTAGTGACGTAATCCTCCTAATTGTTTACCTCAAATTTCTTTTATTCTACAAGAGTGCAACTTTCATACTATCTATGCATCATATATATATATATATATAATTTTAAGCATAATACTCTGATAGACATACTCATACAATCAAAATGTAAGCAATTACATAAGATTACAAAAAAACATTCGCCTTATTGATTGTATGATATACAACAGCCGAATTTGTTGTTATCGGTCTTAGTGCTAATGGGAGCAGAGTAGAAATTGTATATTCGCTAACTTTTATAGTTTCTTTTGCAAAAGAGTTGATCGGATTTTGCCCAAATTTCTTTTAATTGCCTCTAATTATAATGTATCTTTTCTTTAAAAATTTCGTTTGTTATAATTTGTTATTACCTTCACTTAAACAAACAAACACAACTTGTTTGCTTTTCGACTTTATACATTTTATTTTCATAATCGATTTCTCTTTCGTTACACACTGGATTCTATGATTTAAGAGAAAAATAACAAACTATTTCCTAGATAGATTAAACTTTCAGCTATTCTTACTTCAAAACAAAACACAACAACAAGATCTATCCTTCTTTCCCTCTCCCTTTTTATGTGTCCTAATGTAGGCACATTATGTAATGTGTTCGCAGTCAACCCCTTTCTTCTCCTCTTATATCTTTTCGGTCTGAGCAATTATGAGATTACAAGGAAAAAGATGCATTTTTAAGTTTCTCATTGTTTATTCCACTGTTGTGTTTTAATTTATCAATGAAGTTTAAATGTGATTTTCTTTAATGATCATTTCTAATGTTCAATTTTTTTTAAAAAAAAGGCATTCAATTCCTATATTTTTTAATTGCTGCTATCCATAGTTTACCAAGTTTCCAAGACAAACCGTAATGTATAAACCTTTCTTTATAATATATATGTATATCGATTCCCTAGACAATTTATTGTCAAACAAAAATTCAAATTAATTCAGATGGATAAGTGAAGAGAATGTGTAAATCTGTGTTAGCTTGGCTGGATTATATTGTTTCCGAATCTTTCGTATTTCTCTCCATCCTTACCTGTATTTTATGTTTTTATGTACTACTACTGCTGCTGAGATTTTATTTTTTAGATAGAATATATATATACTTATCCATGTATGTATATCAGATTCTTTTTTAAATTTAATTAATATTACCAGTTATCCACTTATAAATTACCCTTCCTAACTTTCCTAACCAAACCCTTCAACGTATAACGATAAGAACTTGATAAACAAATAATTACATGAACATTCATTAAACCCAAGAATTCACATCAAAGTGACTTTTTTTGTACCTCACCATCTATTATCTCCTTTCATCTCTTATCCTAAAAAGCCTTCATTTGTTTTACACACAATAAATACTGATTCAGATGGATAGACAGGTTGAGTGAGTGACAGATATACTTGCATATTGTGTGTAAGGTGATTGAAATTGCAATTAAAGTAGTAAGTATTAACCTAATTCATGTGTTTACTCCTCCATTATTTCAAATCCTTCTTCTTGTACAGTAAGTATCTCTTAAAAAAAAAGATGAAATGAGCCCTTTTGACAAATTGTGTTTTGAAGGAGGATGATTTTTTCCTTCATACTTCTATGCGTATTTTGATACAATCACCTGATTCTTCCTAAATATATATTTCCTTTGGTGTTATGCACAATATGTGTGTCTAACTTATATGTATCAATATGTAATTAAATATAACAATTATACAAATTACTTCAAGTTTCAACTTCTGTTTTCTTCAAAATATCACAGTTTTTATTTAAAATGTTTTAACATTGTGCTCTTACAACCTATTCAATAGCATAAATATGTATGGATATCCAATTATAAAACTAACTATATATGTTCACTACTAATTGACTTCGAGAAGCTCTGATCATATCAAGAGTGAAGTTGATATTACCAATCTCCCTGGATGACTGCCATGCTATATATCGCGAATAGAATGATGTTGATACTCAATCATGAGTGCTTTTATATCTGGGTTGCCACTGTTTATGTTCATGTCGACTCAGTTGTATCCAGGGTCTAACTGCCTATACCTGGAAACGGGAACCACTGAAATTCCCATGGTGCAAAATAAGGACACGAAAGACTGGTACCACGAAGATTTATTGGCTCTCCAAAAAAGTCCCAAAATCACGTCCTCATTAGACCAAAACACAATCATTTATATACTAATGTTTACACACAACCATATCACTTGAAAAAAATACATACAGTAGCTGTAAAAAAACACATTGAATATAGTTCACCTGGATTTATGTTGTGAATATATGTGTCGTACTGAATGAAAGTCTATACTTGTTGTTCTGAATCAGTACAAGAAATATTGTCCTTAGAAGGTCACGCTAAACGAAGTTCACACCTGTCACAACAGCCATAATTCATAATGAGTTGGTACAAAATATAAACCCAAATAATGTCATCTTTTTATCGCGTCATATAGGCTACGAGATGCCGAACTAGAACAAAACATCTATACTCTGATTGATTGTTTCTTATAGTTTTGAAAGTGATATTGTTGGTCTGCGATAAAAACTAAATTAATAAATAATCTGTAAACCCTCTTAACTCAAACGACCATTACGAACTGCTCAGCGAAGTATCTGATACTAAGCTGCAGATTCATAACCTTTTGTTAATACACTAAGAATCAAATGGTAGGATTCATCAACTGAGCTTAGATAAATTCTAGAAAATATTATTGCTTCCATTAGGATTCATAACTAACGTATCAATTATTTATTGTTTCGACCCACCAAGCTACAAGTAGTAGACGTTATCGCTGTGATTCGCGATCTGTAGCCAAATGAATAGAACTGTTGACCAAGTATATGTGAAAATTATTTGTAAGTATTATAAATTCAGCTCAAGAGGATTACTAAATTATTAAGTCTACTAGTGATGAACTCGCTTAACATCAATACAGCTGAAAATCCTCATGTAATTATTAATGTAAATGATCACTAAACATTACTGAATACCCTTAGACAATATTTGTCCGCCCTGAATCTTTTATCCCCAATGTCCAATCGGAACACAATGAAAGTCACTCAGCCTTCTCTTACCACAACTCGGAAATTTATATACATTAATTAAGATAGACAGTGTGGCAATAGCCTCTACAGCAGTTGGTCTCAACCTACACAAGGGATAAAGCAAGATCCTCAAATACAACACGGAAAGCATAAACCGAATCCCGAGTGGTGGAAGCTTTCACGTACCTAGGTAGCATCACTGGCAAATGAGGAGGACCTGGTGCAAAGGTGGAGACACGGATTAGCAAATCAAGGGTAGCATTTCTACAGTTGAAGAACAAATGGGACTCAAAACAATTGTCAGCCAGCATCAGTCACAACTTCCGAAACAAACGTTAAGACAATTCTGCTGTACGGAGCTGAAATTTAGAGAACTACTACAAACATCAAAAATGTACAGGCATTTATAATCAGTTCTCTACGTAAGATACCCAGTGTTCCTTGGTTGAATACCATCAGGAACAACATACAGTGTCAGGTAACAACACAGCTTCCAACTGAAGATGAAATTAGGGAAAGACGTTGAAGATGAATAGGATATATATTGCGTAAATCACCAAACTGCACCTCGATGCATGCCCTAACTCTGGATCTTGAAGGAAAATAAAATGAGAAAGACTAACGAACACATTTCCAGTATACGGTTGTGGAGATTGTTGAGTTTCAATTGAGATCATGAACTAATCTATGTTAGACCACCATTGGAGACATGGAAGCACTGGACGGACGTTTCGTTCCATTATACGACTCACCAACAGTGCGCATCCACGATCTCGCACGCGAACGCGAGAGTCTTAGTGAGAAGCCGTGACCAGTGGTGTTCAACCGTGTCGAATGTAAGATGGATGCGCGATATTGTGGATCGATCGAAGGTAAACATAAGCAATGTTGGATGTCGGCTCAGTGGATGTTATGGCCGTCCAGTGCTTCCAGGTTTTCAATGGTGGTCTAACTTCGATGGTTCATGATCTTAATTAGAACACATTGCGTCGGGGATTGGAGATAGATATCAAAAGAGTGAATAGCACCTGGAAACAACTGGAAAGGAGAGCAGAGGACAGAGTTGGCTGACGGCCTATGCTCCTCCACGAGGCGTTACGGGAGTGAGTTAGTAAATATTGATTAATTACAAGACCATTAAAACACTATAAACAGACAATAATAATAATAATAATAATAATAATCTATACACTACTAGGCTGTTTTGTAATATAAAAACTAAGTAACAGGTAAATAATTAATTAATGTTAATTTAACATCAATTACATATCAACAATTAATGACTTAAATGAAAGTCTCCAACTTCATCAATACGAAAAAATACCATAAACCAACTATTTAATAGAGATACAACGGAAATGCAGATAATAATTCTCCGTAAAATAAAACTTTAACTTTTTCATTTATTTACTTGTAGCTAACAATATTACCTACAATAATTCCAATATTCTAGAACAAACTTCTCAAATGTTAGTTACTATGACAAAAAATTTTACATGGATCAACCATTGAGTAGCAAGTAATTTATAGCAACTCACGTGCAATTGAGTTTGTTCTCATTTAATTCGGTTAAGCCCTTTTGTTAACTTATTTAGCGGACAGAGTCATCCGTACTATAACAACTTATTGTACCTTTATTATTGTTGTGCTTGTATGAAATATGTATGCTTGAACATGGCTTACCGCCTTCGCATATATTCATTCTGCTAGCTTTATTATTAGCTGCTTAAATCATTCGATGATTCATCCATATATATATAAACACACACTACTCTGCTCTACTCTTTCAAGTCGCTGACTCACTCAGTTTCCTTTCTGCTTTGTGGTCTGAGTTATCTGCTAATAAAACTGTAGTCGCTGCTTCTCTTTGCTTTCTGATTTCAAACACCGTT